AATATTAGATACCTTAAAAAACCTGAATAAATAGTAAATAAACATTTTCTAACAAAAAGTGCAAAGTAACAAGTAGAAAAAAAGAAAAATGCAAAAAAAAAAACCTGACCTTCTTTTCTCTGTAAATTAAGGGTACACACTATTGCTGAAAAACACAATCACTGCTTAGCAGTCGGATGTCCGTATGCACAAAGGCACAGATCCCTAAACAAGGCCATATCTGCAGATGAAACTTTGTTTGTAGAAGCATTATTTAAATTTGATCTAGCACCTCATGACTACACCACGTTATGTACGAGAAGCTGCAAAAGACACAGGCGCAAGTGGAATATACAAAACATGGTGACATCAATTTTTAAGGAAATATAATGGGCGATATATTGTCACCAAAAATTATTGAGGTCATGTACATATATTGCGATATATTGTCGATATATCGATTATTGCGACAGGCCTAACTGGACATGAAGACTGAAGCTCTATGGAAAGCCTGATTATAATTCACAAGTAAACCTAAGCAACCAGATCCCATTCTGAGCAATCACTCTCATTTTTTCTTAAAAGTAATGATCTAGTTGCTTTTATAATTCCATTTGGTGGCACTAATGGTGCCAAAATTGCACACTTTACCTTTTGAGAGCCTCTAGATTTGATACACAAGCGTCCAGTCGGAGAAAGGTCCGATAAACCAAATTAAGATGCCAATTTTCAGCAAACCACTGATGGGACAAATTTGAGATATTCCTCTTGGGACAACCAAAGGGTAAGTGGCTGGGGCCGTAAAACACACACAGGGGCTCAGGAGGATATACTCAGAACAATCAAACCAATCAATGACCACATGGTCGCACAGGCCGCCACAGTGCACCTGATCTCCATGGACACGAAACGGATGGGGGCGGTCGCTCGAGACGGCGGGAACAAAACAGACATAGAGAAACAGGAAGACACAATGCAAATGCAGAAAGAGAGGAAAAGAAGAACTACCGAAAAAAAGAAAATGTACTAAGAAACTTGAATTATGAGAACAAAATGTTACTTAACAGATCAATGAGAAACAGAAAGCATAACAGAACCATTTAAACTGCAACAGTTTTAACACCCAGGGCCCCAAACAATAACACTTCAACTATTAACACTCCAGGTGTGGTGAGCTTATGAACTCTCACAACTCATAATTCTACAAAGAATTTCAACATAAACACACAAACCCTGATGAACCCTGATAGTGTGTTAAACCTCCTTCTGATCTGAAATGCATCATAGTCAGAAGTTGTTGGGCTATCAAGAACAAACAAATACCGGAAAGACCTTAAGGAACCGTAACTGTGCTGACTTCATGTACACGTGTGCTATAAACAGACATACCCCTGAGTGCTTTTGCTGCACAACAGACCGATTGCAAAGAGCATGCAAACAACATGCACATTCAGAAAATCACATCAGAGACAACACTGTTCAATCAAAAGGAAAAGGCGCTTTTTATTACACATCTCTGTCATTTCTTCTACAAATACATGGGAAAGACTTGCATCACTTTCATTTATAAATGGGGATTGATTGCATAACATTTCTGAATGAGACGCAGACTGAGGCCAAAGCACAGAAACAATCAACTGAAGGTAGCTATTATAGCAACATGGCCTCTGGGTTTGAAATGCAATGCAAAGTCTCCAGGACTCACTGCATGTGATTTGTTGACTTCTAAACTGTGGGAGACTGATGACGCAAAAGGACATCTGACATTTAAACATACATGTTGTTGGTGCAGCCACATTTATTCTGTAGTATTAAATAATACTGAATAGAACAAGTTGATTTGGAGGCCACCATTTGTAGCACGTTTCACCTGACAAAACATGTTACAGCAAACAATGAAAAACAGAAAGAAAGATAAAGAACAAAGCTAACTTAAGTGCCTTTTAATTTGATGTTAGATCATCTAATTAGCTATCTACCGAGTTACAACCGTATTATGCACAAGCTTTAGTAATAAACACTGAAATAGCAATATAACATTTTTTACAGTAAATACACCTGTCTGAAGTAAACATGCGCTTTATTCTCTCACAGACACGACCCAGAGGACATAAAACTGCACAGAAATGATACATTTGTGATATTTAAAATCAAAGCGCTTAAAAATGAAAACATTTGCCTGTACTGAGTGTTATTAACTATCAAATCTATGCGAGATGCGAACAACAGAGCACCGAAACAACACAATAAATCAGAGCGCTCGTTAAACGGCTATAACTTGAAGGCTTTTGCAGTTTTTTGACAGCTGTCCATCAAAAAGCATTGACATTGAGGGTCATAATGTGGACGAGCAGGTGCAAGTGAAGGAAATGTCTGAAAATGGCGCCGAATGTGAACAAAAAAGAGAAAAAAAATGTCAACAGATTCCCGTCCTCGCGAGCATCACACAATACATAATCCAGCAGCAGCAAGACTGCACTCTTACCTTTCCCTTTAATTCATCAACGAGTAGAAATAATCCACTACAAGATATATCCAGAAACCGCTTTCCCTCAGAGTTCACACAACAAGCAAACCCATGTACAAAATTATCCAAGCTTTTTTAAAACGGTGTTTAGATTCTAGTAAAATGGGGGGGAGGGGCTAGCTATGCAATGAGCCAAGCGTACTTGGAAAGGCGACCAATGGGAGACGAGCAGAGGTAGGAATGAGCCAATCAGACGCGAGATCACTGGGCTTCGGTCCCTGCGCTAAGGCTGTAGCAGCATCGTAACCACGGAGACTTAGACACGGGATCAACCGGATTCGTTTTGTAACTGTTTTGTTTCAGATGCTACTTTGTTTCCAGAACAGGTATAACTGACTGAAAAACAAACAAAATAAAATAAAAAGACACAAATTTCAGGGGGAAAGTGTTATCAGACGCAGCTGGATTCATTTCATCATTTCATCTCAGAGCACCTCCGATAAAGGTTTTGCTGTTTTTGTGAACTTGTTCTGCTAGTGGAAAAAAATGTAATTTTATTTTATTTAGTTAAATGTATTATTTTATTTCATTGTATTGTATTTTATTTTTGTATGTATTTTTTGTCTCCATTTTATTTTATTACCATTTCTTTTAAAGCAAACAAATAAATAAATGATCGCCACAAATCTCAGATATAAACTGCATAATTCAGGTTCAGTTATGAGGTGTCTCCTGCCATTAATGGACATCTAATGTCTCCATTGGATTGTAGTAAATCTCAGTGTTTTGTCAAACCACACAATAACTGGAGGGTTGGGTGTGTTCCATCTGCCCTCAAAATAGGCCATCATCCATCCCTACTAGTAAATAATGCATGATGGTGCCGCCCTAGCCACACTGCACAAACAACAAGTGCATGTGCACTTTTATTTGCACACATTTATTAGTTCTGGTGTGGAAGTAACTTCTAAGCATTCAGCAGTCTTTAGTGGCATTAATGCTTCCATGAAGAACCTTTAACATCCATGGAATTCTTCAAATACGTTTTTTAGAATATTAAAATTGTCTTCACACTTACAAAAGATGGTTCTTTTTAGAACGGTTCACTCCAAAAACAGGATCACCGAGAAAACCCACTTTTGGAACTTTTATTTTTTATGAGTAAAGAACAGAATATGATAGAATGTTGGATAATAGAATGGTTTTAAAACCCGAGAGTCCTCGAGGGACGTCATAAAGCATTGTCCTTTTTTTGAAAACATAACTGTATCTTTTAGAAGAGGCTGGTTTGATTGATAATTAACAGTATATGGCTCTCTGTCTGTCACATTCTTATCTCCTGTGGTTTCCCACATCAGGAGAATTGGCCCTTTAATTCACTAATTTAAAGGGCAGGTGCTTTGCCATACATCTGCTAAAACAAAATGAGAGCACCGACCAGACAGTCCCAGTCCCCAGAGATGGGCGAGACAGAGGGGAGACAGTCACACCCCACCCCGTCCTTCCAGAACCTTCTGCATCTCCTCCCCACCCCCAGATCTTCTCCATTAACATCTGTGGTAGTGGCACCAGCTGGGCACCAAAGCCCTAATTACTGCTCTGCCAAGCACCACATCATTAGTCAAATACCTCTAACCTGACAGGCCACAGGAGACGTCCTACCGGAGTAGTCATGTCAGACGCGCTCACGCTAATATGGGCCAGAGATCTGGGGGATCGTTAGTGCAGTCAAAAGTCATCAGCACACTGGCTGTGTTTCAAACGCAACCCATTTCTGAGCATCTCAGGATGTCTGGAGACTTCAGTCAAAGCATTACGTTTACACACAGTGAAGATAAACACTATCGTCACTGACACGAAAGTACACGCTTGTCCAGTCAGAAGTCGGAATAATACAGATTTTGCTGTTGTTGTTCAAGCAAAGTCTATTATGCTCACCAAGGCTGCATTTATTTGATCAAAATAAATAAATCAATCAGTCTTCAGTGTCACACGATCCTTCAGAAATCATTCTAATAGGCTGATTTGCTGCTCGTTTATGATTGGTGCTCAATTATATTCTAATCTAAATGCTGAAAACAGCTGCTTAATAAATGAATAGAAAATTCAATGAACAACATTTGTTTGAAATAGAAATCTTTTGTAATTATAAATGTCGTTACTGTCAATTTTGATCAATTCAGTCTGTTCTTGTTGAATAAAAGTATTAATTTCTTTCAAAAAGAAATAAAAATCTTACTGATCACAAATGTTTTGAACAATAGTGTATACCAATATAGCACATGCTGTCAAACGATTAATCATGATTAATCGCATCCAAAATAAAAGCATTTGTTTACATATACTTTTGTTTTGTTTACATATACTTTTGTTTTGTTTACATATACTTTTGTTTACATATACTTTTGTTTTGTTTACATATACTTTTTTTGTTGTTGTTAAAAAAGGCTGATGTGATGAAAACATCCACTGTACTTGCTCTCTTCCTCTGGGTGTTTTTGAGTTTCACTGTTTCCTCCTGGGATGAATATTTTTTGTTTGTGTTTTTTTGCTGTTTGGCATGTTGTTAATCCCGAGCTCAAGCCAGTGGCCACCTGTTCCTCCATTTCCTCATCTGACTCTCTGCTGACATCTGCTGACAGTGTGTAGAACCACACCAGTGCTAATATGTGGTCATTTTGCTCTCTGGGTCACTAAATTAAGCAAATAAAGTATGATATATCCTCCTGAGATCCGGAAAAAAAAAGTTTTCTGAATTTAGTATTTTTTCATGTCATTACAAATGTTTCTTGAGCAGCAAATCAGCATATTATTATGATTTCTGAAGATCATGTGACACTGAAGACTGGAGTCGTGATGCTGAAAATACAGCTTTGATCACAATATATATTTTACAGTATTGCTGCTAATGTATTTTCACAGCCTTGGAAATGCAGCCTCGGTTGGCATAAGAGCCTTATTTAAAAAAAATTATTACTATGAATTATTAACTGGCAGTGTAAGTAGAAATAAGAATAAAATGACAAGAAACATTTAGCAACAGTAAGACAACAAATGAAATATACAGTTTAACAGCTGGGCAAAATAAAATAAAATAATAAAATAAAATACATTTAATACACACATACAAACATTTTATTTATTAAATGTCACTAAATTAAGCAAATAAAGTATGATATATCCTCCTGAGATCCGGAAAAAAAAAGTTTTCTGAATTTAGTATTTTTTCATGTCATTACATTGTTTAGAGCATTGAAAAATAACCATTTTGAAAATGTATATTTTATTCATATCATGCTATGTCATCGGTAGAGGACACCGGGACTCAATTTTTGGAAATAAATAAGTAAATAATAATAATAAAAATACATGAATTAACCTGTTGTGAGGTTTTATAATAGTTTACAACTGCAACTACAAATTCATAAGAGGAATTTACAGTATTTTTACAGTAATTTCATCTTTAAAGCCTTAAATTCATTTCATTCGAATATAAATAAATAAAATGAATGAATGAATGATATAGGCATTTCTGGAAGGTGTTTCCTAAGCAGGGTTTTGTAAAAGATCTCTTTGCACTCTGTCTATCTATCAATTGTTCCCATTTCCCACCATCTGTCAGTGTCTGAAGCCTGTGAAAGGCTTTTATAGTGATGTGTCTCTTCATCAGCCTGAGGTTTTGTGTTTCAGGCCCGATCGCTGACAGCACAGATACACTGATCTGATTCCATCTGGCTGTCTCTAGATATTTGTACTTCCTGAATCAATTTTAGGATTTTCTTAACCAAATCTTACACTTAACAGCCAGAATGATGAAATCGGTGCAGAAGAGAGCATACATTTCTGCTTTCTTGCTGCTTTACACACTCTGTATTTAGCGCAGGGAAGACTGATACCTCACTGCATTAAACAAGTGTGAGTTCACTGACGGAAGCATACTGTGACCTGCAACAATGAAAGACTGGGTTTTGTTCTGCTGAGCTTTGCAGATCTCAATATAAAGATTAGAAATAAAATGACAGACTCACCACAAATCACACCGGACCATTTCCAACGACATCAGCAGCCAATGAAGGATGATCCAGTTCAGTTGTGAAACAGAAATAAGAGAAAACAGATCAGAAATACATTTGAAGAGAGATATAACATATAAGCATACTTAGTTTATTATCATTATTTATCTGCCACTTAATAAAAATTGACATGTCATCTCATTAAAAAAAAAATTATAAAATAAAATAAAATAATACTTTGGAAGATTTATTTTTTCTTATTTGGCCCAAGAATATTCTTAAATTTGACATTTTTGCGTTTTTGGTCATATATTATTAAAATATTAAGTTTGTTTTCAAATACATTTTTGTTCACTTTTATATGAAAAACCATTGACTCCAGTCATTATTGATTTACTATTATGATTTTCAAAAAATAATTTTACTCACAATTCCTACACCATAACATATTTTGAGTTTGGCATAACTAGAAAAATCTATATTTATCATAAAAAAACCCATGGAGCTTTAATATTTTATTAATATACATGACTCTCCTATGTCTAGAAATCGCACTTTTAAAATAAGGAATTCAATGAGAGTTTAAACAGCTGCTAAAAATAATAAACAAATGTTTGTAAGAAACAAATCCGTCATAAAAATGTTTTAACTTCAAATCATTGCTAAAATAGAGTCCTCTATCCACAACATTGTCTTTCTCTATAGTGGAATAGTCGTCTCATCTGAATCAGGAGAGAAATCTGCACAGATCAAACACCGTTTACAAGTGAAAACAGTCCAAAACAGTTCTAAACAAATATGTTGGTGTTATGTTGGTATGTTATGATATGTGTATGTTGGTGTTACAAATATTTTGATGTGAGAGGACAACAGGAGACAACTTTTTTCACTGGAGGAAGCATTATTATGGTCTTGCATTTTAACTAGAAGCGATGGTTTAAAGTAAAACATGTCTTTATTTATTTGTTTGTTTGTTTGTTTTAGATTTGTTTCTTACAAACACGCAGCTTTTCACTTCAGAAGTCATTAACTGATGGACTGGAGTGGTGTGGATTATTGTGATGTTTTTATCAGCTGTTTGGAATCTCATTCTGACGGCACCCATTCACTGCAGAGCATCCATTGCTGAGACACTGA